CAGGTGTGAGCGACTTCTTCCAGCCCAGTATCTGTCTTTTAATTGTTGTTTAGAGCGGGAACCAACAGGCTTTTAAAATAAAGGACCAAATGGTACATGGTTATAGGTCATGCTTGTCTGTGTCATGCAACCATTCAACTATGCCATTATAACATGAAAGCTGCTGTAGACAGTATGCAAATGAACCAGTATGTTGGTATTCCAAGAAAATTTTATAAAAATAGGCATGGACCAGATAAGGCTCCGGGACTCTAGTTTGCTAACCTTGGCTTAGACCCACTGCTGTCATTGGATTAAAATCTATTGTCCTTCAGGTTGTTTTGTATTCCATCTATTCTTTGTTTTTGCATCTTTTTCTGTTTTATGATTCCACTTTATTTCCACTACTGGCTTATTATTTGTACCTCTTAAGTTTTTTTACTTGTTGCCTTAGGTGTACAATCTGCACCTTTAATTACACGTTTACCTTCAAATAATACTATCCTACTTTGCATGTAGTTTAAGAGCCGTAGAACAGTGTGCTCCCAATTCTTGCCTTCTATCCTTCATACTATTATCATATAATTTTATGTTTTCTTTTTAAATTTCACTAATAAACATTACTACTTTAAATGATTTTGTAACCACCCTCACTGTTAAGATTTTTCTAGGTTTGTGACAGTGAGTTACAAGATTCATAAATTTGCACTGTTGTACAGGTGGAGAATTAGAAATATAGAGACAATAAGAAAAAAGCATTAGCCTGACAAAGTCAGAGTGCTAGAAGAGAGCTTTCAATAGCTACAGATAACATTTCACCCCATCCTTACCACTCAGTACTTTTCTTTAGTTACTACCTTGATTACTTACTTTATAAGAAAAACACTAAAAAAAAAAAATCACTCTTGTTTTAAAATTTAAATTCTTCTTTATGTACTATATAATAAACACTGGAATCAGATATTGTTTTGTTTTGTTTTTTGTCTGACAGACTGAAGAGTATCATCCAGTTTTTATATTATCAATTCTGGGGTATTTCAGTTTTGAGTGCTTCAAGCAAAAGATCTGTTGACAATTTATGATTTTTTATAATTTCTAGGTACATTCATAAAATCAGTCACTCATGTTTTAGTAGTATGCTTATATTTCAAAGACATGAAACTTTATTTTTTTCTTAAGAAAGAGTATAATATGTTCACCATAATTAGCTGATTTTCTTTAAAGAAAGTTTGTGGGGCTTTTTTTTTTTTTTTTTTGTAGTACTTGTGTGGAAGTAATCGAAAAGACAACATATTTATTGATCCTGGATACCAAACTTTTGAGCAAGAATTGAATAAAATTCTACGAAGCTGGCAACCAAGCATACTTCCAGATGGTAATGCTGTTTTAAATAAAGGTGTTGCTCTCTTGATATTGGGATTGTTATTTTTACAGAGTATGTTTGAAAATATCAAGAAGTCATTTAAATTAGATAACATTTTCTGAACACTTATTCATGAGCTTACCTGCTGTTCACCTCTTGTTGAATTAGAAATGAATGTGGTCAGTAACTACCGTTTATGAAGAACTTTGTAAGAAATGTGGTCTACTTCCTCTGGAGTATGAGACTGGATGTTCATGTCTTAAGCCTTCTAGTGGCATTTCTGATGTAAATTTCTCTTAAACCACTGTTTTCAATATATGAAGAAAATGTGTATGTATATGGAGTCACCAATTTTTTTCAGGAATTTAAATTCCCCGATTTTAATTTTAAAAGGATTTACATTTTTTCTGACCGCTGTTTGCTTGTCCTACTGAAGAATAGATGCAAACATCCAGTCCCTTATTCCATAGATAATAATTCCATAGTAGCCTCTCTATTATTAACTGCATAAGTATTTTTAAAATTAGTTGATCTAAATTAATGGTGAATTGGTATAGATTTGTCCTTAAATTAACTGTATCTACTTCTAGATGGTTAAATGAAAACTTTTGTTTATTATAATTTTTTAAAAATAGTTCTCTCTATTTAAGGGTCAATATTCTCTCGAGTTGAAGAAGACTATCTCTGGAGGATAAAACAACTAGGATCACACTCTCCAGTAGCTCTTCTGAATACACTGTTCTACTTTAACACTAAGTATTTTGGCCTGAAAACAGTGGAACAACACTTAAGACTTTCCTTTGGCACTGTGTTTAGGCACTGGAAAAAAAATCCTTTAACGATGGAAAACAAAGCATGTCTTCGATACCAAGTGTCTTCCTTATGTGGAACAGATAATGAAGGTAGTGTAACAGATATCTTCCTTTTTATTTTTTGAGACGGAGTTTCTCTCTTGTTGCCCAGGCTGGAGTGCAATGGTGCAATCTTGGCCCGCCGCTCCACCTCCTGGGTTCAAGCGATTCTCCTGCCTCAGCCTCCCGAGTAGCTGGGATTACAGGCATGTGCCACCATGCCTGGTTGACATTGTATTTTTAGTAGAAACAGGGTTTCTTCATGTTGGTCAGGATGGTCCTACACTCCCAACCTCAGGTGATGTGCCCGCCTCGGCCTCCCAAAGTGCTGGGATTATAGGGGTGAGCCACCGCACCCGGCCTGGATTTCCATTTTGAGATGTCTATAGTAGGGATATCCAAACCTTGCATTATTAAAGACTTACCTGGGTCACCTGTTAAGAATCTAACAGGTGTCATTTTTATAAGACATCCTATGTCTTCTTAAGATGTCTCAGTTCCTTTTGTTTGAAAAATTGTTACCAGAAGAGCCTTAACTTAGAACTCCAAGGAGCACCTAGTCCTATTTTTGGTATATAACAGATACCAAGAGTGATCTTTATGTCTTTCTTTAAGATTAGTTTAGGAAGTTTGTTTCATTTTTATTTTTTAAGATAAAATTACTACTGGAAAAAGAAAACATGAAGATGATGAACCAGTATTTGAACAAATTGAAAACACAGCCAATCCTTCCAGATGTCCTGTGAAAATGTTTGAATGCTACTTGTCTAAAAGGTGAGTGTTAATGATACTTAACTTTTAAAAATGGTAGAATTTGGCTGATTGAAATTTAACATTACCAATAGGTGTTTTAAATGGATTTTTTCTGAGACTTCTTCTCTCTCAGTTATACCCAAGTTCATTCAGTTATAGTCTTTTAGTTTGAAATACCCAGCTTATACATCATACTTAGAGTTTAAGCATATGTTAAGAAATCACCCTCTACTAATGAAATTACTACTGCTGTCATTTTTTTTTTTTTTTTTTTTTTTTTTTGAGTTGGGGTCTTGCTGTCTCACCCAGACTAGAGTGCAGTGGCTCATGATCACAGCTCACTGCAACCTCAAACTGCTGGGACTACAGGCATGTGCCTTCATAGCTGGCTAATTTTTGTATTTTTTGTAGAGACAGTCTCGCTGTGTTGCCCAGGCTGGTCTTGAACTCCTGACCTCAACTGATCCTCGTGCCTCAGCCTCCCAAAGTGCTGGAATTATAGTCATGAGCTACTGTGCCTGTCATTTTCTTTTAAATTACAGCAATTCCAATGACTGCAAAGCAGGGGACACAAACTTTTTCTTAAAGAGTCAGATGATAAATATTTTAGGCTTTTGGGGCTATAAATCTCTACTGTAACTAGTCGGATCTCTTGTAACTAGAAAGCAGCCGTATGCTATATATGTTTAATGGCATGTGGCTATGTTATAATAAAACTTTACATAAGCAGGTGGGTGGCTATAGTTTGCCAGTGCCTGTTGTAAAGGTATGTTCAAAGGTAGTATAGATAGGTGGAAATGTAAATGAAGTATTTACATTTAAGAGAAAACAGTCAAGCAGGTATGAAAAATGGAATCATATTCTGGAATTTTTTTCCCACAATCTCAGACCAACAGGCATTTTTAAAAGTGTAAGCCAATAAAATGTTTAGAGACCATCGATTATTTTATGCTTGCCTGTTGCTGTAAGTAAGTACTCTCTAATATTCAAAAGGTCAGCATGAATTCAAAATATACTTCCCTATTTAAACAAATTTATAAATTACAGTTAGGTCCCTGGGATGGCCCTGAAGAACTTGTAAAAAAACAATAACGTCATGCTTACGATGGTAGTAGTACAAGTTGAATGCCTCTTATCCAAAATTGCTTTTAGATTTCAGATTTTTTCAGAATTTGGAATATTTGCATATATATTATGAAGTCTTGGGGATAGGACCCAACTCTAAACATGAAATTCATTATGTTTCATACACACCTTATACATGTAGCCTGAAGATAATTTTATCTATGTAGCCTAAAGGTGATTTTATTTTCCCCTTGGGGATGCTGAATAATCTGTGTGCCTGTGTTTTGGCTGTAAACTCCTCACATGAGGTCAGGTGTGGAACTTTCTGCTTTTAGTATCATTTTGGCACTCAAAGAGTTTCAGATTTTGGATTTTTGAATTAGGGATGCGTAACCTGTATTTCTCACCATGGTTGTCCTATTTGGCTGCAACAGTGTCAGGGTCTTTGGTTGATAGTAACTATTTACTACGTGGAAGTTCCTGTCTCACTGTTACCTTGTTGGTATTTTAAAAATTAAGTTTCTATTAATTATGTAATGCTGTAAGAATTTTTAAATTTTATATGCTGCCATATTACCTCAATTCTAAGACATTTTCACATTTTACTATTTCTGAAACTGGAATGCACAGTTTAAATCATTGCATCTTGAAATCATAATTGACAGTGTTTCACTTGCTTAATGGTAACATTAAAATAATGAGTGGTATGTCTATTGATAGTGTCTTGGATTCAGTGAAATAGAGTTAAAATTGTAGTTGGAAATCTCTATCACAGAAAATAACTTTGAGAATACTTTAATGAAAGTAGTGGAGACATTGAGGCATAGGGTCTGATTATATAATGTGATTAATGGGGTCTGAATTATTCTTGAAAGAAGAAAAAAATGTTGTGTGAAATTTTGTATGTATTTTGTGAAATTGACTTTTTCTCTCTCCATCCTCCCCCTCCAAAGTCCACAGAATCTTAATCAGAGAATGGATGTTTTTTATTTGCAACCAGAATGCTCTAGTTCTGCAGATAGCCCTGTCTGGTACACATCTACTTCACTGGACCGAAACACCTTGGAAAATATGCTTGTACGGGTTCTTCTAGTAAAAGATATTTATGATAAAGACAATTATGAACTGGATGAAGACACAGACTAAAAAGGAACGTTTTGGAAGCAATCGGGATAAAACAGCATTAGATAGTCATGCTGCTAGATCTTTATTATGGAAAACATTTCAAGTTTACTCCTTCTGTTTTGAGTTTTGTAGCAGTGTACCCACACTGGGTATTACCATGTAAATAATCTGTGAGTGAAAGTTGCCATTATTCTATGTAGTGGTTTTAGGATACTTAACAAATACATTCAAATTCTTTTTTTATTATTATTTATTTGATTAGGTATGTTTGTAACTTTTTACATTACAGAATATGAATGAGAATGTGCCATGTATAATTTTTTTCTTGTAGTAAGAAACATCCATATTGCACAACTCTACTGTTGGAAAGCTTCCTTGGAAGGGGGCTCTTTTACTGGGTTCTTAACCAGATGGTTGTGTATGGGTAGCACTACTAAAAGTTTAGAACTTGCAGTATCTTTCGGAGTTTTTAAAATAAACTGTAAACTAATAGGCTGGGGTTTTTGTTTTGTTTTGGGGGGATTTTTTGTTTGTTTTGTTTTACATTTTAGTTACTGAAGCCTTACAGTAAGGTTATGTAGAGAGATACCATCTTCTGTACCAAAAATAGACAAGAGAATGCTGTCAATATTGGTGTACTGTAATGTGAATCTATACTGGTGAAAACAATTTTTTGTTCCCCTTATTAAAACCTTAGTGTCCTTTTCTCATTTGTGGCTTTCTGCATCACCCAATCAATAATATATATATATATATATGTATGTGTATATGTATATATATATATATAAATGATTATAAGTTGAGAACAAGATTATCAAGACATTTTCTTTGTAAAAATGTCTGATGAAAGTATAAAATTGTTTTATTTTATGCCAGCCATAAATATCTGAAATCCTCTTCATTTACAGAGGTTTTTTATTTCTTATTTTCTCTCATATACAGATCACGCTGCAATATTACCTGTGTAGTACTCTAAAACTTAACCAATTTTATCAGAATTCCTGTGCCTGCTGACATTGGATAAAATTATTTTTAGAAATTCCACTCTTGAAATAGTTACAGAAAGTCAAGCTACATTAAATAAGATAGGATCACATTTTATTACGAAGATTACCAGTGTAGTAAGTCTGATATTGCAGATGATTGAGGAACAAAGAAACTAATAGAGAAAGTCAATCTCAGAGGAAATCCCATTAAATATGTTAAATTGTTTGGCTTTTTAAATTACTTCTTATAGAAGATTGCATCAAAAAAAAACAACAAAAAAAAAAACTTTGTGCTTCTGCATAGCAATTTATCCATCCAGACCTTTTCTTTTAGAGTAAGGAAACTTAAAATCTACTTTCTAAAGACTGAACAAAGTACTAGTTGCAAATTATGTTGAAATCATTTTCTAGCATGTGTGTAATCATGTTTTCTTCTGATTCCTGAATGACCATTGTAGCATTAGTTTTTAGAAATTGTTCAGGGGGAAATTAAGCTATTTTCCATAGTCATTAGGCAATTGCTTCCTTCAGATATTCCTCTCTCCCATATGGATAAATGTTACAGCACACAGAAGAAATTTTCTCAATTCTGATTTGGAAAATTTCACAGGTGTGATTGTTGTATATTTAAGCAATAATTATCTGAATGTTTTTGGCTTAAAATTACTTTATAATGTTCTAACTTGTTTTATAAGTTTGAATGACTTTTCTGTCCCTTGATTTTATATTACTGAGTGATAATCAGACTGATAGTAGCAAATCTGATATTACATGACTAAAATAGATTGCTGATTGTCTATTTAACGAAGACAAGTGGGTAACGTATTTAAAATATATAATACAAAAATTTCCTCTAACTTACCTTTTTCCAGAACTACTTCTTTAAGCACTTTTCCTATTAATGCCTATTGTTGATTAAAAGATGGTTAATTCTAACCATCTTTTAGTCTTCAAAGTGGTGCTATATTCCATCAAGAGCAATAAAGTTTTTCCCAGGTGTCACTTAATTGTATATGCTACCAAATACCATAAATTTCTGCCATAGTAGTACTATCAAGCACCTTGTCTTGCTATTTACATTTTCTTCATTTGTACATTTTTAGCTTTTCTAAGTGGAAATGTCTTACATAATTTTGATCTGGACATGATTGAGGATTTAGAGCTCTTGTCTTTGTCTTGATTGCAATCCAATGATAGATTAACTTGATTCTCAGGGGGAAAAGAAAAAGAAAAACTTATTTTATGAGAATTGTTTGTTCTGTGAAAGTTACTTCACCTAGAACACATTTCATTGATTCTTGGATCTTCTTAGTTTATGTGGTCATAGTTGGCTGCTGAGAAAAGGACAATGAAATGACAGCAATTTTCTTTTGCTTCTAGGTGATCTCTGATTATAGATAGCATCCTGTAAATATAACCTTATTGTCTTGAAATGTTTATTGAAGATGCTATATTTTTCTGTTCTGTTTTCTGAAGATTTTGGCATTTAAAGTGATCCAGTGAAAAATAATTATCCACATTGAAGAAAGTGGATTTCCCATGCAAATTGAATCTTCATTAACACATTTTTAAAGGCTTTACTGTATTAGGAACATAGATATTAAAGGATTTTTCTAGGCAAGAAGCCCAACTTTTTTTCCATAAAAATATTTTTTGCTTAAATAGTAACTCATGGTTTTCTTTTATTAAGTGGGGTTGTTGCCAGTGTGTTAAACATTGAAATAGGAGGATGCATATTGTATTATGCATTCAAATTTATCACTGTTTTTCTGAGAGACTTTCCCTTTGTCCTTTCCAGTTATGATTTGGGAATGGGGTCACTTGTTTATGCATAGTATTAAGGGTTATATAGTATGAAGAAATCATAAAATTGCAAGTTTTGGTTTGCATTACTCTAATGTGGGTTCATTTAATCTGAGATCTTAAATATCTTGCAGCCTTAAATCACTACAAACATTTGCGTTCTTATTATGCCAGTTATTTCCAAAATGTATTGTTATACATGTCACTTATGTTTTTAAGCTAATATTACTGTAGGATAATCTCCTTGTTCCCCTCAAAATAGTCATGAAAGTGTACATGAAAATATTTTTAAAGAATAAATTTCTTTAAATTACATACTTTTGGATTTCCCCCTTAATAAGCCCCTTACTTATTTTTAGAGAAGATTTTGAATTTCATTCATTCCATTCTCCTGTGTTCTGAGGATTAGACCATATCAATTTAGAAGTTGGTGTCCAGAACAGCCTATCTCTATCAGTTTGGATCTGAAAATAGAAACAACCCAAAGTGGTGTTTCAATTCGTACTTTTTTTCTTCACTCGGAAGTTTGATGTCAGAGGGACACCTCAAATAAGTGACTGTGATCCCCTGCCTTGTAACAAAGTGGAAAAGAGGAAGTCCCTAAAATCTGGTCAAGTGATGTCCTAATTAGTAACTGAGTTAAGCAAGTTCATGAATTTAGGCCTTTTGGGAAAGAAAGAGGATATAAGATTTGACCTGTAAATATTAGTAGAACCAAAGAGAGGGCCACAGACCATTAGTTATTAAGAGTTGTGGGCCGGGCGCGGTGGCTCAAGCCTGTAATCCCAGCACTTTGGGAGGCCGAGGCGGGTGGATCGCGAGGTCAAGAGATCGAGACCATCCTGGTCAACATGGTGAAACCCCGTCTCTACTAAAAATACAAAAAATTAGCTGGTCATGGTGGTGCGTGCCTGTAATCGCAGCTACTCAGGAGGCTG